AGATCAGATGGTTTGCTTTCTCACTTTCCTCTTCTCTGTCTCTCTCACTAGCTCACTCTGCGCCTCCCTTGTCAAATTAAATAAATAAATAAAGTTACATAAAATATTTCTGAAAAATACTACTACCACTGACTGAAATTGAGAGAAGGGTCAAGGACAAAAAAGACATGGCAGGGGGAACCAGCAGTTAGCGTAATGGCTATGTTGCTGGACTCCCAGGTAGTCGACCACAGTTTGCGTCCCGGACCCGGTGGATTAAAACTCACGCCGGGTGCATGTGCGTGCGTGCCCAAGATCCCGAGAGGAGAATGGAGGACAAGGGATTGCGGCATGAGAAATCATCCCCTCTGGGGGGTGATTTCTCGCTTTCTGTCTCTATGTCTCTCTGTGTCTGTCTGGCGTGCGCACGCGCTCTATAGCGAAAACCTCTCAAAAAAAAAAAAAAAGAAAAGCCATGGTAGGGTAGGGAACCAAGAGGGACTGCCAAAAACAAGAGAATTAAAAGTATTATATAAACAAGAGAATAAAAGTATTACAAAGGTAATCATGGAAACAAAAATATAAGAAATATGTACACATACTTTTAAGCAAGCAAACAGACCTGCAAGACAAAGCCTGCATACGGTGGAATGAGTGCAGAGGCTTTGTCTGCCTGAGGATGGCCCCCAAAGCCTCACTAGCTCCCGGCCAGTCTCACCTGTCTGACAAAGCCTGGCGACCTCCGGCTTCTCCTCTCCCATGAGATCCAGGACCCACAGCTCCTCCCCTTGCTCCAGCTGGGAGATCAGCTCCGGCTTAGGGACAGGGAATCCTGTGGAGGACGAGGACTGGGTGAGCCCAGGACCTGGGGGAGGCCCGCCCGCTGTGTCTCTAGGCATGTGAGGCTCAGAGCGAAGCCAGGGGCTGTAGCTGAGCCTGGAGCAGAATTCACTGGGTAGTTCTGCCCTGCCTGGGAAGGACACAGGTGGGGCTGCTGGCAGTGGAGAGAGCAGTTCCTAGGACTGGGAGCAATGCAGGCTCTCCAGAACCACCCGTTCTGCAGAGATCAGACTGGTGCCTAAGACCCAAAGAGCCCAAGGGAACCCTATGCTCCTTAGAGGCCCCCTGTGATCAGGAGGCCAGGAGGCCGTGCTGAGCCTCACCCAGCGAGGCCATGTTCCCGTAGTTCTCCAGCATCACGTCCCTGTACAGCGCCCTCTGCTGGGGGCCCAGCTGTTGCCCCTCCGCCTCCGAGAAATACACGGCCACATCCTGGAAGGTCAGCGGCATGTCCTCCTGCAAAGACAGGTCGCTGGATCGCTGTCACCGCGAAGGCGGTGGAGCACAGCCCCACGCCCAGAGCATCAGCATGACCTGCGTGCTGCGCACTGGCCAGTCCCCGGGACAGGTGAGGCCTGGCCACCTTAAGTCACAAGACCCGGGGGCTCAGAGCCCGTTCTGGGGAAGGTTATAGGCCCGCGTCCCCGCTGTCCCTGGGGTGCGGGGGACACCCTTTACCAACTGCTGGCTCCTAGCTCAGGCAGAGCAGCTTCTGCAGAGGTGGGGCAGGGAGGGCCAGCTCACCTGGGGCCCTAGGAGCCCGCGCTGGGCTGCCATCCTGGGAGCGGGGCTGCAAGACCTAAGCGAAGCCGCCCCTCCGTACCTCTGCCACGCTCGGCGCGGCCAGGGGCTTGCTGATGGCCAAAGGACGCAGTCGGCTCACTCCGGGGGCGCGGCGCCGTTTCCAGCAGGCGGGAGGCGGGAGCTTTCGCAGCAGAGACCCGCATGTGCCCCGACGCCCGAGGGGTTCTGCGCGCCCTTCTACCCTCCGGCAAACCTGCGGCACAGGGCGCGTGGGCGGAAGGCGGAGCAGGCACCCG